AGGAGGAGGAGGAGGAGGAGGAGGGGGGCGGGGGGGTGGAGGGTGGTGTGCTGCTTCCCTTCGCATCGCTCGTGCCGCCTGGGAGCACGAAGAGCACCAGGAAGAAAAAGCTCAGGCGCGCCCTCCGCCTGCCGGCGGCCGGCGCCCAGGGAGGGGGGGGGGGGCAGGGCGAGGGAGAGCTTCTAAGGGGCAGGGCAGGGCAGGGCAGGGCACGGCAGGGCGGCCGGCGCCCTGGCCCTCTAAGTGGTCCCTTAGGAAGGTGGACCTTCTCAAGGAGCCCCCCAGAAGATTCCTGTGTTAGGGGCTTCCTCAGGAAGGTCGACCCTCCTGAGGGGTAGGATCCTGCCTCTCCTGGAGGGCCTCTGGGAATGACGCCCGCAGGCAGGAGGGCTTCGGACCCCGAAGGCCGCCCCGCTCGCCCCCGCCCCCGGGCCCGAATCCGCTCAGAAGCAAGCTCCCGAGGTTCACCCGGGCCGCGGCTTCCCGAACCGCGTCCAACCGTGGCGACGAGGGGGGTCCCCGGAGCTCTGCACCGCTTCCCCTCGGCTGGGTTCTCATCCCGGATGATTTTGTTGACGGCCCTGGGACCTCGAGCGGGCCTCCGTCCCAAACTCGGGGAGAAGCACTACTTGCCGTCCCGATCCATGGGTGGCGCCAGGATCTGGCGGCTTGTGCCAGCCCCTCCGCCGTGCTCCCTCAGAGGTCTCGGCCAGCTCGTCTGGACCACCGCCTGGGGCATCGCAGCACCCTGAGCGGGAGCGCCGGACACACACTCACACACACCACACACACACACACATCATCCATGCCCTCGAGGTCTGGATACGAGGCCGCGACCCATGGATACGCGATCCTGTGGACACTGTCCGCGAGGGGCATCCGAGCAACACCGCCCCGCATCCGTGGTTGCGGCCGTGGATGTGCTTCCCGTCCGAGAGTCGACGTCGATGCCAGCGTCGACGTCGGCGCCGATCTCGACGCCATCGACGTCGTCACCTGCGCTGGTGCCAACGTAGAAGGCGGCGTCGACGTCGACGCTGCCGGCGTCGGCGTCGGCGTCGACTTCGTCGTCGTCCGCGGCCTGAGCTCGCGGCGCCGCCGCCGCAGCAGCCTGTGTCGGCACCCGCCGCGCACTGGGCGCACCCCTGGGGGTGGAAGCCGTGGGGGCACCTCTGCACGGGCCCGCCCTGGCCCCCGTCGCCGGGCCTCCAGCCCGAGGCCGGTGCGATCGGAAAGAGCAGCGAGGAGGATGAGGCAGGACAGCGCCTCGGAGATGTCGTGAAAAAAAATACCGGACCCGCGGCGAGGCTGAGCAGGTCATGCCATCGCGTGGAGCAGCGAGGAGGGGGGGGGCGCCTGGGGGGGGGGCTGCGGGATGCACGAGGAGCTCAGAGGCTCAATGAGGGCAGGACTCGCCAAAGAGCGGCGATCCCCAACGCCTGCAGGCCTCGGACGATGGAAGAATATAGCAGGGGCTCGACCACAAGAAACCTTCCACAAGATACCCAACCCTCACCCCACGGCGTCCAGTGATTTCTGGTGTGGGAACGTCACGCTTTCCGTGGCAAAACCATCGAAGCCCAAGAAACCCAGGGCACCCAGTGGAGGCAAGCAGGGTGCTTCTTGGCATAGGCCCCCACTGCACGCTAAGAGACCTTGCTACACGAGGCCCATTTGTGGGCATATCCCTCGTCGCCTCCCAAGAGCTCTGCGGGCCCATTTGGGGGGCAAGGGCTTCTCGCTGGGCACACGTAGGCAGGCCAGTCTCTCACTTCGTGCGCCTACAGTCGGGGTTGATTGGAGAGGACACGCCAGAGGACACAAGACTCTTCCGATGGCCGCAGCGCCTAGCCAACCTCGACTGTACTGTAGGCTGCTGCTGGGACAGAAGTGTCGGGCTCCAGAAGCCCGGAACCCCAAATCGTGCTGTCACCTCTTGGGAGGCCGACTTTAGCTCCCGCCGCCTTCCGCCGAGCTTCCGCCGCCTTCCGCCGGCGGAGCCAAAGCCGTTTCACACCCGCCGCCGGCCGCCTGCCTCCCGTCCTCGACGGCAAAGCCCTTTTATCGGGGAGACGCAAGACTCGGGCTCGGGGGACTCGGGTTGGCCTGACGGGGCCATCATGAAAATGGCGACACCCAAAGATTGAAGCGAACTCCCGCTGCAAACGTCCCACGAACACTGGACCGTCAAAACCCAAGAGACGCGCCTGTGGTCAAACAACGTCGGCAAGCCCGAGTTCCGCCTCACTCGAGTCTCACGCTTCCCCGACTTTCTGGAGCGCCTCAGAAGGCGGACTCCGGAAACCCCGAACCCAAAAACGGTTTCATCTCTGGGGGACGCATCTTTTACTTCCGCCGCCTTCCGCTAGCCTTCCGCCGGCTTCCGCCTTTCAGAGGCGGCCTCGTTCTTGCCGTCGCTCGGACGTCCATTCCCCGTGCATGTTTCGGTTTCGTGCGCGTTTTTTTTGCTCGATGGTCCAGGATGCTCCTCGATGTTTCCCGCCGAAAAAAATGCACACGTCCGAGCGATGCTAAGCGTTTTACTTCCGCCGACCTTCCGCCGCCCTCCGCAGAGGAAGCGGTGGCAACTCCTTCGACCCTCGAAGGCAAGGGCCTCCTTGGAACGGCCCAGACTGTCCGGAGGCCAGCGCGATACCCCCGGGCAGGCTCCGGACGACCCCACTCCTCCTCCCCTCCCCCCCCCTCCTCCTCCTCCTCCTCCTCCTCCTCCTCCTCCTCCTCCTCCTCCTCCTCCTCCTCCTCCCTCCTCCCTCCTCCCTCCTCCCTCCTCCTCCTCCTGCTCCTCCTCCTCCCTCCTCCTCCTCCTCCTCCTCCTCCGGGGCGGCGCCGCAGCCTGGGCCAGGGAGGGTCCCTGCCGCGGACGCTCGGAGGGCACGCGCACGCGCGCCACGCTCTCTCCGCAGCCCCCCCCACGGCAACCAGGGGGCTTGCCACCCCGCCGCGTGCGCACCACGGCTGCGGCGGCCACGGCAGGGCGTGCGAGCGCCACGGCGCCCCGTGCACACCGCAGTGCCTATATATTATAGCCGTACACCACGGGGGCTCGCCCGCGTGGCACCGCGGCACACGTCGTGCCCGCGTGCGCTGCGGGCCCCACGGCCTGCCTGGGATCGCGCACTGCACCGGGCCAGGGCGGCGTTACCGCTCTCTGGGGGGAGGAGGGAGGAAGGGGGGGTAACACGTCACGGCCTGCCTGGGATCGCGCACTGCACCGGGCCAGGGCGGCGTTACCGCTCTCTGGGGGGGGGGAGGTAGGGGGGGGGGTAACACGTGTTAATTTCCGTTGGGTGGGTCAAAGATTGTCTCTCCATTCTTTCCCGACGCAGCAGGAACCAATGACCTTCCCCGGTGCGACACAAACCTGGGCAGCGGCAGGATGCGGATGCTTTGGTACGTGCCACCTCGACGTGTGGCCCACCTCGCAGAACGCATTGTCCTCCGAGCGTGGCGCGCCCGCTCTGGCATGACCTCAGCGGGCCCCGAGGGAAATGGGCCTGGAACGCGGGGCCCGCCCGCAGGATATGCCGCCGTCTTTCACGCAGATTCATTGCTTGTCTGCCCCCCGGCGCCTGGCGGAGGCTCTGGGAGTCCGAAAACGAAAAACCTCCAAGATCCTGGTTCACTCTGGACAGAAGCGCGTCCACGGTACCACCAGAACCAAAAGCCGCCCGAACCGACAGCGACACCATCACAGACCGGCACCAACAAGCCGCAATACTGATGGAAAGGCGCAGCGACGCAACAACGGCACGACAACCGCCCGAACCGAACCCACCGAATGCAAACGACTCCAACACAATCGATCCGATCGAACCGTGGACACCCCTGATGGTTCATGTTCTTGATAGCGACCCTCTGCGAGGTACGAGTTGACCGAGGGCAGGATCAGTCAGCATCGAATCGGGAAATAGGATCGAATCGACATGTGTCCTCCCGAGGCCACGAGTCAACACAAAAAGCAGTAATGCACCCGCGCTTCTGAGGTCAGCTCGAGGCCACGATCCTGATCCCCTGTAAAAGAAACGGCTCCGCGCTCCCGCGGTCACGATGTCCTTTAAAGCACGATCGAGCCATAGGAGCAAACGGTGAAGACAGGATACCAAGGCCGCCAAGATGGCCCAAGATGCCCAGGAGGCCCTCAAGATGGCCCAATTTGCCACAAGAAGACCTCCAACACGGGGCCCGAACAAACACACGTCATCTATGTCCCATCGGTTCTCGAGGACTCGGGCGTTTTCATAATTTCGGGCTTCCTGCAACACCAGGCGGCCGTGTCTCACGTTCCAGCCTCCCCGAGCAGTCACCACCCAATTTGCTGGGCTGGCACGGTGGCGGGGGACTTGCCGCGGGCAGCTGGATACGGTCAGGAACGTTTGCTTAGGGTATCGCGGCGGCGGCCACAGCGTCAAGCCATGCCTTGTAAGCTGATGGCGTGCCGCTCCGCTCCGAAGAGCGGGAGGCTGGGAAGAGCTCGCGACGTTGACGCCTAGGGACTGGGACATCATCAACGTGCCGCGCTGAAGCGTGGGAGGCCAGAACCGGCGGGGCGACACGGCGAGCAACGACTCGCGACCGTACATCGAAATCGGGTCGGAGCGATCTGGCCGTACATCGATGTCTGACGAACGAACAACACACACCCATACCCATAGGGGGGTCGTTCGGGAGGAGCACTGGCTATGGGTATGGGTGCGTGTTGTCGGACCCTGGGGAACGCTCCCGTTCGAGCGGGGACCCCCATCCGACAACACGCACCCATAACCCTCTCCGACCCCCCTATGGATATGGGTGTGTGTTGTTAATTCGTCAATATCTAGTCGGACCCCGACGGGCGCGACGCGGCGACGAGCCCGCTTCTCCAAAGAGGGGCGCCGGCGCTCGAAGTTGAGGCCGCCCTGCAGGCCCGCCCTGCCAGCCCGCCGGGCACGCAGGCCCTCTGGAGCACTGCCTGCGGAAGGCGTCGTCGTCGTCGTCGTCGTCGTCGTCGTCGTCGTCGTCGTCGTCGTAGGTGTCGTCGAGGCTTCCGAGCGTGATCAGGAATTTCCGGCATCAGGGAGCCGACCGCCAGATTCGTGGTCGTCGTCGTCGACGTCGACGTCGTCGTCGACGTCGCCGTTGTCGTCGTCGTCGTCGTCGTCGTCGTCGTCGTCGGCCGAGATTATCGGATCTCCTCCCCGTTTTGGCCACTCGGGGGCCCATGAGCCCCGGGGCTGTCAAAGTCTACCCCGGGTGAGAAACTGGGCAGGACCCCAGCGGAAAGGTCTGGGGTCCGACCTGGCGGTGATGTCGGCCCTCCTCCTCCTCCTCCTCCTCCTCCTCCTCCATGTCCTCCTCCTCGAAGACGGCGATTTGAGACGGCCGAACAGGGCACAGAAAACACGGGTTTGATGCCCGACAACGGGTGCAAAACCGACAGCGGTCGCTGCTGGGTAGCCATCCACCTGTCTCAAATGGGCACCATCCGCGGGGACACCGGCAGCGACTCCAGTTCAGAATGGTTTGGAACTGCTGTCGGTTTTCGTGCCCACTCTTTCCGAACCCAGTTCGATCACCCCCCACGACTGGGACGCCGGCGAAGTCCTCGACGGCGGAAAGACGAAAGAAGAGCCAGGCGCTGGAGAGGAAAAGGAGTGAGGCGGGGTGAAGGTCTGAGAGCGTTCTACATGATTTGAGGCGGTGCGAGTAGGAGAAAAGAACAGACGTTCAGGGACGGATGGTCAAGTGCACGGGGCGAGGGAGAGAACGCAGGAGGATCAGTAATCAATTTGCCAGGAGGAGGAGGAGGAGGAGGAGGAGGAGGAGGAGGAGGAGGAGGAAGAGGAGGAGCAGGAGGAGGAGCAGGAGAAGGAGGAGGAGCAGGAGGGAGGAGGAGGAGGAGGAGGAGGACAGGGGGAGGAGGAGGAGGAAGGACTACGACGCGGAGGAGGATTGGGGGGATTCGGCTGGATTCGGCTGAGCAGCCAGAGTGTGGTAGGATCCAGATCAGCTGCGGCTTTCTCCAGTCCTAGAAAAAAACCTGCCGCTGCAAACGCCGGCGCCCCCTCCCCCCGCAACGCGGCCGCAACAACTACGAGGGCCGCCCCCTCAGCTCGGGAGAGGGCGGCACCGGCAGCAACACGAAGAAGGCGGAGGGTGCTCGTCGCTGTCCAGTTGCAGGGAGGAGGCCGCGTCGCGGGCCGCGCGCACGGACGAGACAGCAACATATTACCAGCCTCGAACGTATCCCCATCCCTAAGATTGTGACACGCCAAAAGGCGATAACAATCTTAGGAATTCGCCCTCGAAAAAAAGGGATTCCCTAAGATTGGCATCGTGATGAGGAGGTGCCCAGCATAGGGATAGGGATATGTTCCAGGCTGGTAAACATGATCATCCACGGGGGGGGGGGGGGGGGGGCGAGCATGGCCCAGGGGCCCCCCCAGGAACCCGAGGCACAGAGAGCGCCAACTCCGTTGCCGCCGCCGCGGCAGCCGCGGAGTGGGCCTCTGCGGGGCGGGAAAAAGGTTACTGCGGATCCTGGAGGTTCTCGTGGCCTTTCTTGGTAGGGCCTTTCGTCCCAGCGCTGTCGATGTCGAGACGGCGCCCATCTGAGGTCGCCGCGAAACCGCAGACCGAACAACACTTGAACGATAACTCCTTCACCAGGTGAAGCCAGTGCGAGGCATGGAGCCTCACGCCTCTCACAGACTGGGCTCCGCGCAGCGAAAAAAAACTCGGGACCAGACGAACTCGAGGGCGCACCAGCGCCGGCGACAAGAGCCTTCGGACATACCTGCGCCGCCACGAACGGGAGTTGAGGCCCAGGAACAAGCTGCTTACGCAACTGGCAACGCCATCCACCGACAAAAAGCCTGAACTCGTGAGCATTTGCGTCGGCAGCCTTGTAGGAGGCTGGCCAGACGGCCCGGTGCCCGCCCGAGGCTCAACCTACAAAGAATTAGTGGAAGCGCGCCGCGCCCTCCCGCGAACCACGGCGGCGCTAGCGTCGTGCAAATCAGCGCGCAGGGGGGCTGGACCGCCGTCTGACCCCGAGACCACTTAGCAACTATCCCCGCCCAGACGTCTGCGCGCGCATTGTCCTGACGAAGAAACGCCCCCCCACTGGATATTGTTTCTATCGGGGTCTTCCTCCATATGGAAATCGCGCCCAAATTGATCGGGCCCCGACAGGGCCTCTGAACCTCGAAGCCAAACCCGCGCGCGCCCAGAAATCACCGTCGATGCCCCTCGGGGAGCACGCCCTGCCGATATTCCAATCGAAACGGTATGCTCGCAGCCAGTCGCGCGCCCGAGCGGCTCGCGAGCGCGCTGCAGCGCGGCAGCTCAGCACGAGGCGCACTCTGTCGCCTTCCCGAGTGCGCAGCCGCCGCCCCGCAGAGGGGCTGCCATAGCAAGGGGCGTCAGGCACTGTCAGGCACTGGGGCAATGCGCGCCGCAGCGGCCCCGCACTTCCGTCTTCAGGGATCGGGGGGGCCCCCTTCCCCTCCCCGATCTGCCCCCGAAGACGTGAAGCGGGTTGCCCTCGAGGGCCGCCTGCTGCCCCAAACGCCCGGCCCCCTCCATAAGGACCTCGAGGCCAAGTTCGTCGCACATAAACCACCAGGACCGTGAGCTCCTTCCGAGAATCCCCTTGGTCTACAAGGCTGGCTCTGCCCCATGGGCTGCCGGCGCTCCCGGGAGGAGAGAATCAGTCGACGAAGGATCAGAGGCCGGGGCAATCATATCCTGCTGCGCGTTTCCGCCCCCGCGGCCACTGGCCGCCTGGCGCCGCAGACCAGCTGGCAGACTGCCAATGCAATTGCCCCAATTCGGCAAGAAGACCTAGCTCCGTATAAAACAACGAGAAGCCAGCTCCTCCGCGCAGGCCGTCGCACGCCGCGCGCTTGGAAGCCTTCCCACTGCGACGACCTGGAGCACACTGGCGAAACACATAACAAGTCACTAACATCGGCCGCGTCACAACCAGAAAACCCAGATCAAATTGGCAGGCCGCAGCTACCGTGCCCTTGACTTGCCGCTGACGAATTAACGGGAAAGCATGCCGCGGCGAGGGCGCCCTTGCCTTGAGCCAGGCTTCGCGAGCCCTGGCATGCAGGGCCGGCTGCCGCAGCCAGCGGCGAATCCATTCGTCCAAGTCTTGGACGCGCCAACCGCCCGTCAATGCCTGGGTCGCCTGGGAGGCGGAGGAGAGGCGGCGCCCTTTCCCCGCTGGCAATCGCAGCCGCGGCGCCCCCTCTAAGCTCCAGAACCTGGGCCGCGGACGACCCCAACAGCTGGCGTTCGAAAGCGGCCGAAGGGTGCATCCCAGGTCGATGAGCCAACAGCCAGAGAGAGCTTTATCCCGCATGAGCCTACCCTTCCTGCGACGGGCACGGGCCCTCCTCTGACCATCAAGCGACAAGCTCTGCGACGTCCCCCCGCGACATCAATGCCCAGGTTCAGCGCCGATGCAACGAACTCTGCGGGTGTCCGGAGCTTTCACTTCTCCAGCCCGCGACCGACGCTGTCACTCGATGCCGCCAGGTCAATCTCATTGGACATCTGGAGCCTCGACTCCGCGAAACCTTCTGCGAGGGATCTCTAGGCCCTGCCTGCGCTTGCCCTCCGCGCGGCCCGCGGCGTCGTCTATGTGGGTCCGAATGTCAGCGGGAGGTTCCGAGCGATGAGCGAGATCTTCGATCCCGTGGAGCATCGCCATGGCAGCTTGCGCCCCGTTGGGCGATCCAGCCAATACTTATCTTGAGGCCACCAAGTCATGCGACATCACCGTGCCTCTGTCGACCAGCCGCGCGGCCTCTCAAAGCCCAGCATCAAACGACAAGATGATAGCAGGTACGTCGGAAGCCAGGGCCACCTAAATCAGCGACAACGACATCACCGTCCCGTAGAACGTTTCGCGATCAAAGGGAAAGCACCGCGCAGCCGAAGCCCAACTGCCAAGCGCTCTCGTTAAGGACCGACCTGGTGAGCGCAGCTCCCGGCGCCGACGACCCCGCAGTGGCAATGCCCCTGAATGCGCCTGCCGACTGTGACCATCTCGCGGAGTCGTTCGCCCTCATCTGAAGCCAATGCGTCGGCGCGGCGCCCAAAAGCCCCGAAGCGCGGGCCCCTCGGGGCCGCGGCCCCCATCGTCTTATCAGCTTGCCAGCAGTGACAAGGATGAGGGGCCCGTTTTCAACATGGACCTCTCGCCTCGGCTCCGCGTACATTCGTACTCATCAAACCTTACAAGAATTACGCGGGTGCAGGAGTGGTGATTTCCACAGTGGAGCTCTCGCCTTAGCGCCGCGTGCGTTCGCCTGAAACGCTCGCAACAATTCTAGCGATGGAGAGTTCTTTTTCAACATTGGACTCTCGTCTTGACGCTTCGCATGATCGCTGTAACAGTTGCTAGCCTGAGGACGCTTTTCCTTCAAACTTGGGCTCCCGACTAAGCATCCCATTATCTATAGGCCAGAAGCTTGAACAGACGGAGCCTCTGGTGGATCTGGCGCGGATGCGCCAAATCTACACGTCGTTCGTTTCTAATCGTGCTCATTTCTAATTGTGCTCGTTTCTGCTTGTTCTTGGCCCCCCAGTGGCCAGGAAGAGGCCCAGGATAGAACAATTAGAAGTGGAAGGACCTTGGCCCCCCAAAAACAAAGAACTTTCGAATACTTCGAAATGAACCATGCCAGAAGCTTGAACAGATATAGCCTCTGGTGGATCGGGGCGCGTGTGCGCCAAATCTGCTGATCGGGGAAGGCGCCCCCCGAAGCATGAGGCCGGTGCCGCCTCATCTGGCGACGGATTGCGCCGACCCTCTACGGAAACGGGGCCAGTCGCAAATCCACGTTTCCTTGAGGGGAGGAGGCTCCTCCTCCTCCTCCTCCTCCTCCTCCTCCTCCTCTTCCTCCTCCTCCTCCTCCTCCTCTTCCTCCTCCTCCCTGTTCCCGCTCCCCGTCCGCCTTCCCCCTTCCCCCCCCAATCCCTCTTCTCCCTCCCCTTAGCATGGGGGAAGGTCCTGAGGAAAACGGGTCCTGAGCCCCTGGGCCCTCTCCCAGGACCATCCGTTCATCCCGAGTCGTTCTCTGACAATCCTGGGGCCCGTGGAAGGCCCAGAGGGCCCGACCTCGGCGACAAACCTCACGAGCCGTTCCCCTCGGGACCCGCTTGCCCCATGGCGATCCGCCCCCCCCCCCCCCCCCGGCAGGGCAGGGCAGCGAGTCAAGAGGAGGAGGTCGAGGCGAAGGCGAGGAGGAGAGAGGAGGCAGCGGAGGGGATGGAGATGGAGGGGAGGAGGGGTGCGACAAGGGAGGTGGAGGAGGAGGAAGAGAAGGAGGAGAAGGAGGGGGAGGAGGAGGAGGGCGAGGAGGAGGAGGAGGGCGAGGAGGGGAGGAGGAGGGGAGGAGGGCGAGGAGGAGGAGGAGGAGGAGGGCGAGGAGGAGGAGGATAAAGGAGGAGGAGGAGGAGGAGGAGGAGGAGGAGGAGGAGGAGGGAGGAGGAGAGGAGGAGGAGGAGAGGAGGAGGAGGAGGAGGAGCAGGAGGAGGAGGAGGAGGACCCCCCCGCTGGTGCCCTGGCGGCGGTCGCCCGCCCTCTTCGCGGCGGCGCCCGCGTCGCTGCTGCTCTCTCCTCGGCCGCGCGCGGGCCGCCGACGGGTGGTGCCCTCCTCGCCTCGCGCCCCGCTCGCCTCCCCCTCGAAGGCCTCCCCCATCGAAGGCCTCCGCGCCCTCGCCTCGCCCAAGGCACCCTCGCCTCGTCGCGCGGCCCTCCTTCCTCGCCCTCTCGCCTTCGTCTCCCCCTCCCCGCCCAGCCTCGCCTCGACTCGTCTCGCCTCGCCTATCGTTCTCCCGTTCTCTCGTCCTCTCTTTCTTTTTTTGGTTCCTTTTTTTTTGTCTCTCTCTCTCTCTCTCTCTCTCTCTCTCTCTCTCTCTCTCTCTCTCTCTCTCTCTCTCCCTTTCGAGGGTGAGGTGAAGAGGGGGGGCGATCCGGAGGACGCGTCGCCGCCGTCCGCGTTCAGCGCGGAGCACCAGAGCGCCTCGTGGGGTGAGCGCGGCTCCTCCAGCCCCACCCCGCTCCTTTTCCCAATCCCTGCTCCGGCCGCCTCTTCCTGCAGCTCTCCCTCTTCTTCCTGCCTCCTCCTGCACTTCCTCGTCCTCCTCGCCGTCCTCGTGGCTCCTCGTCGTCCTCCATCTCCTGCTCCTCCTGCTCCAGCTCCTCGCACGTACCCAGAGAGGCGGCCGCGGTCCTTGCCTCCGATCACCGCCGTCGGAGCTGGAACCGCACAGTGGCAGCCAGCGCGCGCTCTCTGTGGGAAGAGAGCGTCTCGAGCGAGGCACGCTCGGCATTCAGAGCATTATAGAGAAGTGTGGCGGCAGCAGGGGTGGCGAAGGACTCGGGAGACGGGCACGAGAGACCAAGACGCTGGACGGGGCAGCCGGGGAGAGAGGGGACCTGGAGCACGAGAGCAAGAATGGACAGAAAGCGGGGGCAGGACCAGTAGTGGCGGATGCAGTCGCCGCAACGGTCGAGGCCGTTCGGCACACAACCTAGGATACACGAGCAACGGATCTGGAAGCGTTCGTCTGTGGTCCAGCCGCCGATCAGCAGCTTAAGGACTGCGCCTGCGATCGCAGGTGGGGCACGATTCAGAGTGGTGCGCACCTGCGGCCAGGGCCATGCTCGGATATCGGCCTCAGAGCGGGGAAGCCACGAAGAGAGGCGAGCAACAAAGACATCGACAAGAGGGTCAGGGAATCGCTCCTCCTGCTCCAGCTCCTGCTCCTCCTCCGCCTCCTCCTCCTCCTCCTCATCCTCCTCCCTCCTCCTGCTGCTGTGAGCGGTGGCTTTTGGACAACCGCGAGGTGCAGCTATCCTCAACCCACCAGTGGCCGTTGCTGCTGGAGGGGGGATCCAAACCCCCGGCGACTCTCTGCCGCCAGGGACGCACGGATGCAGGGGCCTTGGAATCCCACTTCGAAGCTCGTCGAGCGGGGCGCGGCCCCTGAAAGTGGCCGGGGTGGGACCGAGGAGGCAAGGATGCAGGGGCACCCCTGGGAAGGTTGCCGTTCCTTCCTATGCGGGCTGACTCTGCGCGGCCGTCCCATCCCCAGCAGCAAGCTGCAGCGCAGTCCCGAACCGCACAGCCGCCCCGCTCCCGTGGCAGCGCGCGGGGCCTGGCATAGCGGGGTGCGATGCGCGAGGCAGCGCGGCTGGCGTTGCCGGCGGCAGCGTCTGGACAACAGCGATTCCAAGCGAGAAGCCTCGGCCTCAGCTCGCCGGCGCTCGGACGTCCACTGCCCGTGTACGCTTCGATCTCGTGCGTGCGCTTTCCTGGCCAGATGATCCAGGACGCTCCTCGATGGCCCTCGCCGAGAATAACATACACACGTCGGAGCGATGCCAAGTCAGCGTCAGGCGCGAGCTGGCGAGACGCGGCTTTCTTCACGCTCGCGGGCTCCAGGCCTTAGGGGAAATCAGGTTGTCTTCGCGCGCCTGGCACTTGCCATCGCTCGGTCGTCCATTCCCCGTGCATTTTTCGCTTTCGTGCATGTGCGTTCTCAAGAGATGAACCAACATATTCCTTGATGTTTCTCGTCGAGAAACACATGCATACGTCCGAGCGATGCCAAGGGCATGGGTGAGACATCGCTTGGAGTGGTTACGAGCGTCGCACATGTGCGTATCCGCGCCCTCGTGGTCTGCATTCCAAGGCGCGATCCCGCGAATGCGCGGTCGCACGGATGCATGTCGCGCGGGGCATCCGCGAAAAAAACGCACCGTATCCGAGGGGGCGCGGCCCAGGGGCCCAACCCGCGAGGCCGCGGATACGCAGATTTTGATACATATATATATATGTGTATATATATAGATGTGTATAGCTGTGTATATATAATATATAGAGAGAGATCGCCCATGAACTGGTGTGTACTGGTGAGGCTGGGGGAACCAACGCTGACCATCCGAGCGCGATAGGCCGATCTATGGTGAAGCTGGGAGACAACACCCGTGCCGTCCAGCCCGCCTGGACTGAGTGGCGCCACGGTTCACACAGGGGGGGAAGAAGAACTCACACGTGGGGGGGGGCGTTCCTAGGGCGCAGGCGGTGGTGCCTTCAGGCAGGCGCGCGGTACCTCCATCCCACATGGTGTTGATGCTCTGGCGAGTGGAGCAGACAGGCGAGCCGCTGAGCCGCAATCGCACGTCAGGACGTAGACGTTCTTCTGGATGGACCCGCTGCACGTTTCACATGTCATGTCGCTTGGCGCCACTGCCTGTTGGCGAGGATGCCCGCGGGGCCCGCGTCGGCCCTAGCGCGCCGCTCCAACAGCCTGCCCAGATTGGCATTCTGTTTCGAGGGCATCCAGTGTGTTCCCGGTGGTGCGGATTGGGAGCGCCTGCGTTTCCTCAGCGCTGGGCAGATAGCGGATCTGATCCATTGCTCGCTGGGACGAGGCACATCTCCAAGCGTGCTTGTTGGCGAAAAGGGTCTGGCCCGAACCGCTCATTGCACCGTCATCTTCCCCCCCTCCTCCTCCTTCTTCTCCTCCTCCTCCTCCTCCTCCTCCTCCGCCTCCTCCTCCTCCCTCTCCTCCTCCTCCCTCCTCCTCCTCCTCCTCCTCCTCCTCCTCCTGATCCTGCTCCTGCTCCTCCTGCTCCTCCTGCTCCTCCTCCTCCTCCTCCTCCTCCTCCTCCTCCTCCTCCTCCTCCCTCTTCAGCTGCCATCTGGGCCTAAGATATTGTCAGGGCAGCCCAGACCGCCACCATGCGATTACTCGGACCGAGAAGACAGAAGGGGCGGCGGCCCGCATGATGGCAGCAGCACACTCAGCCTCTCTCGCTGTGCTCCTCTTCTGCCAGATCTCGGCTAAGCCCGACAGGCTCGCGGTGAGATACGGGGAGAACAACAATTTCGACATCATCGAGGGGACATCACGCAGACGACATACGCAACACCGCCGCGGCAACACAAGATACTACGACACGGGCGGGCAACCAAGGGAAGAGATCAACCGCAGCACGGGCACCGTCATCGACATCCAGGAACCGCAGCTCAGTGGAAGAGGGCTCGCGAACACCCTGCATCACGACCAGACGCTGCTGATCATAGGATACTACAGGCCGCCACAGTACTACGCTAAGACGAGCAGAGGATTCAACTGGATAGAAGAAACCAGCAGACAGAAGCATCGTCGAGGGCGACCTCAACGATGGCAACGGCATCACACAGAAAGGAGGACGACCAGAATCAGACCTCAAGGCACGCCTCACCCTCACGCTGGCGCGCGAGCAGGCCGAGCTGGCGTCGGCATTCATCCAGACGTGGGAGATCAACGCGCAGAGCGGCATTGCGCAGGCGGGCTTACAGGCGGGCCAGACGTACAACGACGACGCGCAGGACTTACGACGCAGAGCAGCAGATCCAGCGCTCGAAGAAGGCGGATCGCTCGAACGACTACCAGACGGTGCGGGACAGAAGCCTCGCACCTACGCCGACCGCCATATCGGAGAGAAGAACGCGAGGTACATCATGATACCGAAGAGCATGACCGAGACGATGACATCTCAAGGACCCCCGCTACGACAACAAATACGACAGAGGCTAATCGCACGCCTGCGGCCGAATCGTCGCCTCCCCCGTTTTGCACGGACGAGCTCGAACCCAGGGACCTGCCAGGGACGGTTGACCCACCCAGGTCCCAGGAAGAGACAGAGCCGGAGGGCAATCCACACGCCACAGACAAACATCTGGGCCCTCAAGTAACATCGACGCAGAGCTACTACCCAGAGTTGCAGAAGCGCATCCAGGCCATGAAGAAGAGCTACTACGAGCGCGGCAGGTTCTGGACCAAGCGAAGACACGCCAACGACAACGGCGACGAGCACAACGGCAACGCACAGAGCAACGAGTCGAAGAACTATCACGAGCAGGAGGAAGATACGAACCACGAAAGAGGGACTTCTGGACGGTTACTACGGCAAACTTCACGAAGCAGGAATGGCTTGATTTTTGGCGACTTCCAGGAGGATCAGACGGCAGGGAAGGCACCGAGCAGAACGCCCAGCACCTGGAGGCCATCCCACACAACGCCGCGGAGAAGGAATATTACGAGAACAACTTGGAAAAAAAATAGAGGAATACTACAACGAGATCGCCAAAGGCCACAAACGAGTACGCCTACGAAGAGCAGCGCCACCAACGGCGACACCAACGGAGATATGGCGACTACTACTACGCCCACCGAAGGCGGAACACCAACCACGCCAACGACACGGCCTGGGACTTCAAGCAGAAGACGGAGAACACGTAAAAAAATTACCGAAGGCCGCCTTGCTATCAACGAGCGCATCAATTACTACCAGTGCTCCACGAGCCGAAGAACAACGCAAGCTACAACTACACGTCCACCATGAAGGACATGTACAAGGAGTTCGCCAGCTGCAAGTGACTTACGCGGACACGACCAACGGCAACAACACGCAGGATCACTGGGACCACGGAGAACAACGATACCACAGGGCGATGTTCAACATCGAGCGCAGAGACAGCCTGGAAACACCTGGCCAGGAGCTGGGAGAACAAGTGGACGCGGCTTCGCACGACAGCCCCCACACCTACGTATGGACCGACATGGCGAACTACACGGGGCGCATGTCCGACGCAGGAGCGGAGCGCGACTACCTCGAGAAATACTACCAGGACGTCATCGAGTGGCAGGGCAGAGAAGAGAGCAGACAGCATCCCAATCTTCCTCGCACGCAAGAACAAGGGCAAAGGAGGGGGCATCACGGAGAAGTGCAGGCTTCAGTTCCAGGCGAAGTAAATGGACACGCAGCTGGAGACGAGCCGCAAGATCGGGGCGGTGCCGCACGGAGAACGAGAACTGGGACGTCTCGCCAGAACGACACGGAGAGAGGAGCAGCACAATATGATGTGCGTGAGCGGACGACGCGGCTCTGTCCTGCCCCAGCGAGCGCGGCCCATCAGGCCACCCCGTTTTTACGCACCAGCGCACGATTCCACGAGCTGGTCAGGGAAGGACGCCCTCCTCCTCCGCCTCCGACCGAGACCTCCTCCCACTCCGAGGCCCGAGCTTCCCTGACTAATTTGTCTTGCACCGACCTCCCCGCCCCCACCCGAAGGGCTGAGAAGACGGGGCAGTAGAGGAACCAGCGAGAGGGCACCCGATAGCGGGTGCTACCCTGCCCGCAGACCCCTGCGTGGGGGAGGACGGTGCAGGTAGGGCCCGAGCGTCTCAGTGACGCCCGCGACCCCCTTTCAGAAAAGCGACCTCAGCTAGGTCACACAACTTTATTAAGCAGCACAGCGCGCAGCGATAGTGCAGCACCGAACCGGCCCGAGAGCTCGATCGATCGATCCTCCCTCTTCTCCTTTTTCTCCTCCACCTCCTCCTCCTCCTCCTTCCCCTCCTAATCCTCCTCCTCCTCCTCCTCCTTCTCCTCCTCCTCCTCTCCTCCTTCTCCTCCTCCTCCTCCTGCCTGATCCTGCTCATCCTCCTTCTCCTCCTCCTCCTCCTTCTCCTCCCCTCCTCCTCCCTGCTCCTCCTCCTCCCTCCTCCTCCTCCTCCTCCTCCTGATCCTCTCCTCCTCCTCCTCCCTCCTCCTCCCCTCCTCCTCCTCCTCCTAATCCACCTCCTACTCCTTCTCCTAATCCTCCTCCTCCTCCTTCTCCTCCTCCTCCTGATCCTGCTCCTCCTCCTTCTCCTCCCTCTCCTCCTCCTCCTCCTCCTCCCTCTCCATCTGCCGCCTTTGCTGGCGGCTGGCGGCGACTTGTGGGGGCTTCGGCGGCTCGCGGCCGGCGGGGCACACATTGCGACGGGCTCCGCCTGGCGCTTGACCGCCGCCTCGCGGGTGCCTCGAGAGCCTCTGGCTTTCCCGTGGCCCGGTGACGCAGTCCTCTGGTTGCCGTGGTCTGTGCACTCGTCGCCGGTCACCTCGGCGGCAGCTGCTGGGCTGTGCGCCCCCCCCCCCCGTCGTTCCCCAAGCTGTGCCCTCTTGGCGGGGCTCCCGCACAGGGTGTTCGGATGCTCGGGGGGCGTCAGCCTCGCTCTTTCCTCAAGGGTCGGGCTGGCAGACAGTCGCTTTTTTGGCCCGCCAGGTATTTCTCTGGGGCGCCCATCACGTAGTTCGTCAGGTATCTCGAAGTCGGTGGGTGCGCGGACTCTCAGATTGTAGACGAGGCCTGCTGCGCAGAGCTCAGCATCAGTATTGTCGGAATGAGTGGTGGCTGAAGAGGCGGTTGTATGACGAAACATGCTGTAGGTGTTGTCGATAACGATGATTGGTCTGCGGAGTGACAATGCCCTGCTTGCAGAACATCCGCGCATCCTGTGAGAGCCCCTGTGCGTGGCAAGCTTGCCACGCCGTTTGCGCAGTAACTTCACGAAAATATGGATCCCTGCCTGCTTGTGCAAAACATAATGAGAGACGTACACATCGTGCCGACGCCGGGACACGCCAGGGATGCAACTACCTGGAACGAACCCCGGCTCAAGCATTGCTACGGGATCTCCTCATCCTCATCCCCCTCCATTCCCTCCTCCTAACTCGTTCTAACCTGCCTCCTCTTCGTCCAGCCCTCCCTCCTCATTTCCCCCTCCCCCCCTCCTCCTCTTCCCCTTCGCCCAACTAATCCTCCTCCTCCCCATCATCATCGTACAGGGGCAACATCAAGGATCGAACATCAACTTGCGGGTGTCAAACTCAATTGGGCGATACATGTTATTTGCCGGGTATCCTGAAACATGATCGTTGGTCAGTTGCCTCATCCCTCCTCCTCTTCCCTCCTGTATCCTCCTCCTCCTCCTCTTCCTCCTCTTCCCTCCTGTTTCCTCCTCTTCCCCCTTCTCCTCGGGGCCAGGAGGTAGAAGGGGGGTGAAATGAAGGTGTAGAAAGGAAGGAGGAGGGATCTGAAGGAAAAAGGGTGAGTGGCGGGAAGGGGGAGGGCAGGAGGGAGGAAGAGACGGAGGAGGATGAGGAGGAGGAAGAGGAAGAGGAGGAGGAGGAGGAGGAGGAGGAGGAGGAGGAGGAGGAGGGGAGGAGGATGGAGGACTGGGAGGAGGCGGGAGACGGAGGGGCGGGAAGGGGGCGGGAGGAGGAAAAGGGTGCAGGGGAGACATGGGGGCGGGGGGAAGAAGGACGATGGAGGAGGAGGAGGAGGAGGGAGGAGAGGAGGAGGAGGAGGAGGAGGGGGGAGGATGAGGAGGAGGAGGAGGAGAGGGAGGAGGAGGAGGAGGAGGAGGACGACGACGATGGAGGAGGAGGAAGAGGAGGAGGAGGAGGAGGACGACGATTGAGGAGGAGGAGGAGGAGGAGGAGGAGGAGATGGGAGGAGGGCAGGAGAGAGGGAGGAAGGGAAGAGGAGGGGACACGATAATGGGTTATGATGGTGGTGGTCTGTTTACGATTGTGCATGCGTGGGCCATTGTTGGCACCCTCCACCCAACGCCATTTCCCCCCTCCTCTGCTCGCATGGCGCCACCACGCCCAGTTCGGCGCACCTCTCAAGCGTGTCGTGGCACCACAGGGAGTTCCGCAAAGGGCCCCAGTGGCTGCGCTCCCGTGGCACAATCTCACCCATTCGGGCACACCCCCCACACGTGGCCCCATGGGGAACTCCACCGAAGGTCCCACCGGCTGCGCCCGCGTGGCACCACCGCGCCCATGTCGGCACTCCCGTCACAAGCTTCGTGGCCGAGCAGGGAGCTGCACCGAAGGCGCCAGTGGCAGCGCCCGCATTGCATCACCGCGCCACCCTTCACTGATGATGATGATGATGATGATGATGATGATGATGATGATGATGATGATGATGATGATGATAATGATGATCATGATGATGATGAGGATGAGGATGATAATGATGATGATGATGATGATGATGATGATGATGATGATGATGATGATGATGATGCTGATAATGATGATGATTTTTCTCCCCCCACGAGACCGATGGTGGCGGACAATGACAACGTAAAGGAGTCCATACAAGAAGGGAAATAAAGTCGTGTGTGCGAGCCCCATCGGATGGGAGAGAGAAAGATCACGACCAGCAGTTAAGCCAGTGACCTCCGTCTCGAGTCTATCATGGTCCCTAGGCCAAGGGACGCAAGAGGCACACGGATGATGATGATGATGATGATGATGCTGCTGCTGCTGATGATGATGATGATGATGATGATGATGATGATGGTGATGCTGATGCTGATGCTGATGATGCTGATGATGCTGATGATGCTGCTGATGATGATGATGCTGATGATGCAGATGACGATTTTTCGTGGCCCAACAGGGAGCTCCATCGACGGCGCACCCGTTTCGGCACAGCCCTCGCACTCCTCGTGGCCCCCTAACGGGGGGCTCGGCCGGGGGCCCACGGGCCGCGCCCGTACGGCACACCCCTCACACGCCTCGTGGGCCCCTGGGGGAGCTCTACGGAAAAACGGTCGGTATCCACAACGCTGCACAGGGCAGTTTTTGATACATGGGATGTTTACACAGATAGGTTTTTGGGGTTTGAAAAAAGCATGATTCATTTATGGAGAACTTCATGCATGAACTCATCGTTGCTTTTAGTACTAAATCCCTGCATGCTTAATACATGACCCGCACGCGGAGCATACATTAAACACGGTACTGTACTCACAAGTGCATCTAGTTTGTTTTTTTTGGCTCGCCAGGGTACTTTCAATACGGACGCTCTTCCTTGATCTTGGACTCGGGGGCCCACTACTGGTCCCCAGAGTCCACAAATGGTGGCCGTTGGGGGGGGGAGAAAAAAAGGAGGAGGATGAGGAGGGAGAGGAGGAGGAGGAGGAGGAGGAGGAGGAAGAGGAGGAGGAGAAGGAGGAGAAGGGGAGGACGACGAGGAGGAAGAGGAGGAATGAGAGAGGGCGGAGGAGGAGGAGGTGGAGGGTGCATTGAGAATCGATTGCATTTTGGACGTTTGACGACGACGCCGACGACGACCACGACGCCGACGACGACGCCGACGACGACGACGACGACGAACGACGACGACGACGACGACGACGACGACGACGACGACGACGACGACGCCGACGCCGACGCCGACGCCGACGCCGACGCCGACGCCGACGCCGACGCCGACGCCGACGCCGACGACGGACGCCGACGACGGACGCCGACGACGGAAGCCGACGACGGACGCCGACGACGGACGCCGCCGCCGACGACGACGACGACGACGACGACGAAGACGACGACGACGAGGACCCCCCGCATGCTGCGCAGCGTCTGCCTCGTGTGCGCCGCGGCGCCTCTGTGGCACCTGGTCCCCGCAGCGCGGGCAGGCCCACAGGCGCTCGGGGCCGAACCCGAGCCCGGCGCCGCCGTCGCCCTCGTCCTCCCCGTCGTCCTCGGGAGGGCGTCCGGGTCGTCCTCGCCCTCGTGCTCCTCGCCGTCATCGCCCTCGTCCTCCTCGTGCTCCTCGTCGTCCTCGTCATCGTCCTCGTCCTCCTCCTCTTCCTCCTCCTCCTCTTCCTCGTTCTCCTCCTCCTCCTCCTCCTCCTCCTCCTCCTCCTCCTCCTCCTCCTCCTCCTCCTCCTCCTCCTCCTATGCCTCATCTCCCTCCTCCTCCTCCTCCTCCTCCTGCTCCTGCTCCACCTCCTCCTCCTCCTCCTCCTCCTCCTCCTCCTCCTCCTCCTCCTCCTCCTCCTCCCCCTCCCCCCCCCGTCGTCCTCGGAAGGGCGTCCAGCTCGTGGTCGGAGGATCGCACCGCGCCATCGATACATCGGCGGCCTCAGGCCACTCGAGCCATGACAAAAATCACAACGGGATCCTTCTCCGGGTTTTTGGCCTCTGGGGGCCCTCACGGGGCCTCGGGGCCGTCAAGAACCGACTCGAGGATGCAAGAGGAGGTCCTGGGGAGGGGGTCCAGACCTCTTGGGGGTGGGTCGCCTCATGAGAACGTCATGACGTCGGGGGCCTGGGGTGCATCGTCGGTGCTGGGGCGGAGAGAATCGGACTCCAGGCCGCCGACGCCTCGGCGATGCGGCGGGATCCTCCGACGCCGCCTGGGGATCCTCCTCCTCCTCCTCCTCCTCCTCCTCCTCAGGAGGAGGAGGAGGAGGAGGAGGAGGAGGAGGGCCCCATCCAGAAAAACAAACAACAACTCGGGATGAACAACCAGTCCCAGGGAAGTGGTCGAGGCCTCCGGGTGTCCACGCCGTATCAACAGGAACAACGGCATGGGGGGTCAGGGACTGCAGTCAAAGCTTTGGCACAAGAGAGAAAGCGTCCTGCGCAATGAACGGGACCCCTTCTCTTGCCTCGGCGTAAGCCTACATCCGTGATGGAAAGGCCTCGGGAGAAGCCCCAGGGGCACCGAGCCCCTCACGAGACCAGGCCATGCTTGTGGCTGCCAACGTTTCGCCCGCCATCGGGGGCAAGCAGCACCACGATCACGTGGGAGGACGAGGACCCCGTAGTTGTCGATCAGCGTGTGGGTGCCAAATCCCTCAGCTGGGGCGGAATTGGGTGACCCACCTGGAACGCGTCTGTAGCTAGGCTCAGCCGTGGGATTGGGGAAATCACAGTGCAGACACTAGACCCACCAACGAAGTTGCAATCAACCCTTCCTGCGATTTCTCTATGCATAGGTCCCTCCAAAGGTCGATTTTCACTGAAAGAAGTGCCCTTTTGGAAGACAGCCGTCTGAAAATCCTGAACTTTGCCAACACAATCCTGGGGCCTGTTGCGAATTCGCGTGACTGCTGCGTCCAGACGGTCCTCAATCGTGCCAGGCACTCCTGGGACTGCAACACCGCGAATCAACCTGACTGTTGCGCCCTGACAGTCCCACATCGCACCAACACAACATGCCTGGGATGCCAGCCGAAATAAACATTGACACTGCTGCGAACTCCTAAGACGAATGTGCGCGGAGCTAAGGCGATCACCGCAATTTGAATAAGAGCCGCCCTCCATCCGTGAAATTCTTGTGGGCTTTTGAAAGCGTGCGCGGCACGACGGCGATAACCGCATTAAACAAAACGCCCTCCATCCGCGAACCCCTAGCAGGATTCAAGCAACGAGTTTGCGCAGCGCTGAAGTGATAGTCGCAAGTTGTACACCGCCCGCTCTCCATCTGTGAAGCTGTTGCAAATTTCGAACTACATGATCATGCGCGGTGAGGCCCTACCCACGCGTGCCAGAGTGCGACAAGGATAACCTAGCTATAAGAAAGCCGACCGGAGAAGACAGATGAAACGGTGCAGGGGGGAAAGGGAAGGAGGGAGCATAAGCAGGAGGAGGAGGAGGAGAAATAAGAGTAGGACGAGGAAGATGAGGAATAGGAGGAGGAAGGGGAAGTGGAGGCGGAGGAGGAGGAGAACGAGGAGACAGGAGGAAAAGGCAGGAGGAGAGACAGGCAGGGGCAAGAGGGGAATAGGAGGAAGGGAGGGACGGAACAGGCAGAGGATAAGGAGGCGGCAGGAGCAATTGGGGGAGATGGACACGGGACGAGGGACAGAAGGAATAGTGAGACAAGGAAAGGGCAGAGAGGACGGAAGAGATGGGGTGAGGGAGAAGGAGGAGGAGGAGGAGGAGGAGGAGGATAACGCACTGCCTTGGCGGTCACCGCGCAGGTCAAGAGTAGGTTGGTTGGTTGGTTGGTTGGTTGGTTGGTTGGTTGGTTGGTTGGTTGGTTGGTGTCCTTCTAGGGAGGCGGGCGGCATTGTGGGGGCGCGGGCACGGCCCCTTTAGCAGAGGGCAGCAGGGCTGGAGGACGGCGACTGTCGCGACCCCGCAGCGTCCGCTCAGGGGAAGAAACGACACCGCCTGCGGGGCTAGAGGAAGAGGAGGGGGAGGACAGGGGGCGGACCAAGGAACGCCCGACTGAGCCTGGCCCCGCGCTTCTCCTAGGACCGCGGAAGAGGAGCCGCGCATTGGCCCTAGAAGCCAACGTGATGGAGAAGAGGGGAAGGCTCGGGGAGGTGGGCCTCACGGCGACTCCCTCCCACGGGGACCCCCGCCCGTACTCCCAGCCGCCTCGTGTCAGCGAAGGACGGAGCTGAGAGACGGAGAGAACGGAGGGAGAGGGGGTCACCCCAGGAGAAGCAGAGTTTTTGTATTACTCGGCTCCTGGTGGCCTGGCCCAGAATGACGCTTCCTCCTTCTCTAAGAAACTTGCCACCGCGGCCGCCTCTGCATACGTAGCCATTCCCCCCGGTCGTGAGCTCAGTCTCGCCCTTGTGGTGGCCTCCCGCTCAGGCGGAGCGTCCGCTCGCCGAGCGCGCCAATAGGCCTGCCGCATGGTCTCCGTCCGCTCGCATGCTGCAAGAACGTGGACAGTGGGGCTGTGCGTGAGGACCCCGCAGCAGATGCAACACTGGCGACGAGCCCAAGAACGCGCCCCTCCGACGTGTGCATGGCTGACAAGGCGAAGGCGCAATCGGGCGAGTGGTCGCTGGCCCCGGAGCTCAGCCCAGCTCAGGCCTGACGACAGGGCTCGGCGTAGATCCTACCGGACCCCCCACCCAGGGACAAGTAAGGCATCGTCGCACGTGCTTGGCGAGCTCCTGGTTGAGGAGCCTGCGGCATCGTTCCTCCAATAACTCCCTGACTCTGGGTTTGTACGCTTTCAGGCTGGACCCGGGGAAAGCGCCTTCCCAGGCTGGCCAATCCGGCAGGTCCCAAGACTCGAGCAGCTGCAGGGAAGCGCGCGACCAAGTCCTACCAGGCACCAGATGGGCACGGATGAAGACACTTCTGTATAAATCCGAGTCCGGAAGCCTCCAAAGGCCTGCACATCGGGAGGCAACATCGAGCAATGCACGACTGGAGCCTGAAAGCGTCCATCCCAGTTCCGCCACCGCTTGAGCGACAGGTTTCCAAGGGGGGCTGTCGAGGAAGGCCCTCGCCCAGGACAAGTAGGCTTCGTCCAGCTTGAGAGCTGCCCCGTCCGATATGGCAAACAGCAACCTGCTGAAGCGGAGGAAGGAGTCGACCTTCGCCTCAAAAAATCCCGCCGCCACGGCCAAGGGAAGGAGCCCGACGCGCCTACGGCCAGCTGTGGGGTTCTCCATCGCACGGCCTAATCAGCACGTCCTCAAGAGCTTCGTCGGGTGACGGGCGTGCTGGTGGCGAGGCAGGCTCTTGGCGCACGTGATGCTGATCAGCATACGGCGATTGCCATAATTGGTGACGCAATGTATGCATAGACCGACATGTCTGTACGACGGGATGTTCTTCGGCAGTAATTACGCCATGCTTCTCCACGTCCATTGCGACGCTCTCCACACCGCCCCTTGAGAGCCTCTGGGATTATAGCACGAGCGGATGTTCCAACAGACGGGATTGTGCTTTAGAGGTTTCTTCTGATGCTTCCGCTTCTGCAGCGAGATCGTTTCGCACTTGTGCGGCTACTGTGGCAGCCCGCCAGATCGCCGGGCTGCGGCCATGGGGCTGCGTTGGCTTTCATGTCGGCACTATTTCGCTGAAGGTCTTCTTCGTGCTTGCTGTTGGAGTTACACCTGACGTCAGGATGGGTTTTGTACAGTTGAGGTCGCCATTTTGACCCCGCTTTTTTGTTCACACCTTCGTTCGTTAGTCTGCGGCGGGATGCCCCCCTTGTACTGGGGCAATGCACCGCCCCTGGGATGTTGCACGGCCGGCTACCCGATTTGAGGCTTTGTGCGTCTCCGAGGTATGGTCTTGTTGGGACGACTATTGCTTCTTACTTCTACCCTTTATGGTTGTGGTTGATCACCAGTTAACCAGGACAGCAGAGCGGCCAAAGGAAGCAGCCCACTGGAGATCTGGCCTGCTAAAGTAGCACACTGGGCAGAAGCTGCGCCCAAGCGGGAAGCCAGTAGACGCTCCAAGCGCAGATCGTCTTGCCTTTGTAGCCCTAACCACTTGTGGGACTCTGGCATATGGAGCTAGACTGGCTGACCCCCCCGCACAGGGAGGACAAGAGGCGGTGCAGCTCCGCCCGCCGTTCTAGCCAGCCCGCCGTGGACCATGAGAATATGCTTGGTGGCTTTGGCAGAAGCAGGAGGGTAAGGAGCAGAAACGAAAAAACATAAGAATGGTGATCATGATATGAGGATGAGGAGGAGGAAGGAGGGAGGGAGGGAGGGAGGGAGGGAGGGAGGGAGGGAGGAGGAGGAGGAGGAGGGAGGAGGGAGAGGAGGGAGGAGAAGGGAGGGCGGAAGACGAGGCGGTGGGGGTCGGGTCCTCGGGCAGCTCCTCCACGAAGACCATGTCGGCCCGCGGCGCACGGCGCCCCCGAGCGCGGGGGGCGGCCGTTCGGCCGAGCGCGGCGCGACGCTGCGGGGCGGCGCTCGGGGGGCTCGGGACGATGCTCCGCTGCGGAGAGGGGGTGGCCCAGTCCTCTCGGGAGGGAACGAGGGGCTGGGGGGGAGGGGAGGGGAGGAGGAGGAGGAGGAGGAGGAGGAGGAGGAGGAGGAGGAGGAGGAGGAGGGGAGAGGACGGCGGCGGGGACGGCGAGAGCGCCACGGCGCCCGCGGGGACGGCGAGAGCGGCGGGGCGGCGAGGGGCGGCGGCGGGGGCGGCGAGGGCGGCGGCGGCGTGGGCGATGGGGGGCCTGGGAGCGGCGGCGGCGGCGGCGAGGGCGGCGGCGACGGGCGGCGGCTGCGGGCTGGGGCGCGCCCCTGGAGGCGGGACCGTGCCCTCGGCTGCTCGCTCCTCCTGGCTCCTCCTCGCTCCTCCCCCTCGCGCTCGTTCCTCCTCCTCCTCCTCCTCCTCCTCCTCCTCCTCCTCCTCCTCCTCCGCTTCCTCCTGCCCTTCCTCCTGCCTCTCCTCCTCCTCCTCCTCCTCCTCCTCCTCCTCCTCCTCCTCCCTCTCCTCCTCCTCCCTCCGCTTCCTCCTCCTCCTCCTCCTCCTCCTCCTCCTCCTCCTCCGCTTCCTCCTCCCCCTCCTCCTCCTGTTCCCTCCTCCTCCTCCTCCTCCTCCTGCTTCTTCCTCCTCCTCCTGCTTCTTCCTCCTCCTCCTCCTCCTCCTCCTCTTCACCCTCCTCGCCACGCTCGTCCCCCTCTCCCCCGCTCGCCACCGCCCACCAACTGCTTGCGCGCGCGCTGGCACCTGCGCGAGGGTCCATGGCGTGTGGATGGCGTCGGTGAGCTCGCGCTGCGTGTAGTGGAGCGCGCCCTTGGCCCAGGCGCAAAAGGCGAAGTGGGAAGAAGTGGGACGGAGTGGGAGGACGAGGAGGATGATGACTTTTCGTAGGAGGGCCAGTCGAGACGACGCCGGTCCTCCCTTGCGCTGTTCGTCCTTCTTGGGTCTCCAGGAGGCTTCTCGTGGCCATGGGCAAGGATGGACCAGCCGAGGGTTGGGGGACCGATTGTGATCGGACTTTAGACCGGGGGAGGGAGCCAGCGTTGTCTCAGCTGGCCCTCCGCGGACTGTGGATGCTGATGCGGCCGATGGCAATGCTGATTCTAACTATCAGAACGGTTGTGCCGCTGACGTCGCTGTTGAAGGTGCGGTGAGATGTTGGCGGCGATGAGGGTGTGTGATAATGGCGAGGAGTATCAGGATGGTGGGGATGGAAAGGAATGAAGAGGGAGGGTGGGTGGAGATGAAGATACGGGGCAAAAAGAGGCACATGGGAGGAAGGGGCGGCGATCAGGGTTTCAAAAGGAAGGCGGCAGCTTGACTCGCACGCTCATTCCACCCGCTCTTGCAACAGACACACACACACGAACACACACACACACACACACACACACGCGTAGTAGCCCAGACTGGCCATTCCATGGAAAGCCACGAACAAACTCTCTGGGCGCCAAGTGCGCCAGGGCCACGCATGCCAGGGCCACGCATGCCAGGCCAGATGCGCATTTGCGCCAGGTGTGCTTGGTGCGGCAGGTGAGCACCCAGCGCCATGCGCGCCAGTGCACGTGACGGCACACAGGGGGACAAGACCTCCCCCCTACAATCCCTGCACAACACACATGCAACATGATCTCTCGGGTGCATTATGTCCAGTGTCGGAGGTTGGGGGTAAGACTGAAGCAAAACAGAGTGCACCCCCCTCCCCTAAAGAGAGATGGGTCTCGGTTTCGGTTCGTGTAGTGTGCGGCTACGCGACATCCCTGCGAAATCAAGCACGCATTGGCTGACTATCTCCGATCCCTCCGGCCGCCGCGTTCTTCCTGGCTTGTCCTGCCGTTGTCCTGTAACTGTCCCCTGGTTATTCTGTGGTTGTCCATTGTCCCGTGGTTGTCCCGTGGTCGTCCTGCGGCTGTCCAATGGCTGCCAACTGTAAGAGCTATAATGGCTATATGGATGTCAACAAATGAGAACGTGTCGGAGGTAGTCAGAAGAGCGAGAGCTAGCTGGAAAGGCTGCAGAAAGTAGCGGAGTTCAACTAATAAGACAAATCCGAATCCAGAAACTGCCCCGCGGTTGTCAAACTGGGTTGGCCCGTGCGGTTGGGTCGTGGTTGTGCTACGGTGTTGCTTGGATTGTCGTGTGGTTGTCCCGTGCGGTTGTCCCATGACGGTTCCGCTGCCGTCCCGTACTTCACCATAAAACGCGGGAGGAAGCCAGCTGTCGCTAGGAATCGTAGTATGGCGGGACACGCTAGAATACATATTTATAGTTATATTTACATGTGTATATAAATATGTGAAATACCAGTACGAGCCAACAGGAATGCAACACACATCGTTAGCTACCTAGCTGGTCCAAAACTTCGATAATGGCGCGAAGACCTGCACCGTGTAAGCGACTGAAGCCACGCTTCCTGCAGCTAGCTTGCGAGGCAGACATACCAATAGTGCTTATAAGTCAAGGCTCGGTGCAAGAAGGGGACAGACGAGACCGACTATGTGTAGCACACTGAAGGGTGAGCTGCAGTGGAACACCAACACGGTTTCGACTTGGTACAGGAACTAGATAATACACTTATGCATGTTAAGGGACAGGCTGGTGACATGCTGATGAGGTAGCTTTGCTAAGAAACGGGGAGCTATTGCCAAATATCTGCTCGCTGAAGGCTTCAATGCCGATGCTGTTTCTCACAATCGCCCTGTCGTTTTGGGCCCTCGCTTTGAGAAGACAGCGCCCCGCGTTCCACTCCTTCTCATCCTCGCTGCCCCCTCCCTCCGTGGCTCAGTTCGCATGTGGGCGTCGCTCCCGTTTCGGCACGCCCCACACACGTTTCGCGAACCCATGGGGGGCTCCACCGAGTGCCTCTGTTGCGCAGTTTGAATTTCTGCGCCACTATCACTTCGGCACACCACTCACACGTTTCGCGGCCCCACAGGAGACTCCATCCAAAGCCTCCGTGGCGCAATTCGCATGTGCGCGTTACTCCCGTTTCGGCACGACCCTTGCACGCTTCGTGCCCCCGTAAGGGGGCTCCACCGAGTGCCTCCGTGGCGCAGTTCGCATTTGGGCGTCACGCCCATTTCGGTACACCCCTCACACGTTTCGTGGCCCCGTGAGGGGGCTCCATCGAGTGCCTCCGTGGCGCAGTTCGCAGGTTGGCTAACGCCTGTTTCGGAACACCCCTCACACATTTTGTGGCCCCATAGGGGGGCTCCACAGAGCGCCGCCGTGGCGCAGTTCGCACGTTGGCGTCACGCCCGTTTCGGCACACCCCTCGCACGTCTCCTGGCCACACTGGGAGCTCCATCGAGTGCCTCTGTGGCGCAATTCTCATGCGGCTCCCTAACAGTTCAGGCTTGCTACTCACACGATTCGTGGTCCCATAAAGGGGGCTCCACCGAGTCTCTCCGTGGCGCAGTTCGCATGTGGGCGTCACGCCCGCTTCTGCACACCCCTCACACGTTTCGTGGCCCCGTGGGGAGCTCCACCGAGTGTCTTTGCGGCGCAATTCACATGTAGGCGTCGCGCCCGTCTCGGCACACTCCTCACACGTTTCGAGGCCCAATAAGGGGGCTCCCCCGAGTGCCTCCTTGGCGCAGTTCGCATGCGGTTCCCCACCCGTTTTGGCACACCCCTCACACATTTCGTGGCCCAATGGAGAGCTACACCGGGTGTCTCCGTGGCGCAACTGGCATGCGGTTCCCTGTCAAGTTCGGCACATCGCTCACACGTTTCGCGGCCCCATCGGGAGCTCTACCTAAGCCGCCGTGCGCAATTCGCATACGGTCCCCCACTAATTCCGGCACACATTCCACACGCTTTGTGGCCCCATAGGGAGCTCCACCCGGGGCCTCCGTGGCGCAGTTCGCATACGTTTCCCAACCCATTTCGGCGCACCCCTCACACGTTTCGTGGCCCCGTAGGGAGCTCCACCGGAAGCGATGGCCACAACGCGGCACTCATAACTGCATATGGTTGGAACCTTCGCCAGGATACTTAAATGTCACCCAGTGTGGAGCCCAAGCGATCCGATATTGCACTGTGGATGCGCAAGCTGAATGGTCCAAGCTGTGTGGTGCACGCTGAGTGATGTAAGCTGTGCGTTGCAAGCTGTGTGGCTTCGGACACATGGTGCAAGCTGCGTTGAGCAAGGGCAACGTCACGAAACCTTGGCGGAACCTCCAGGCGCGGCGGGCGGAAACGAGGCGAAACACAGGCGGCGGCGCGGCGAACGCTCGGCGGACCCCCCCAGGCGCGGTGGGGCGGCAACGAGGCGGCCACGGGCGGCGACGCGGCGACACTTCGGCGGACTACCCCAGCGGGCGGCGGCGGGGCGGCCACGAGGCAAGCGCGGGCGGCGACGAGGCGAAACCGCGGCGGACAAGGAAAGGTGGGCGGCCACGTGGTGGCTGCGGGGCGGCGCGGCGGGTCGCCTAGTTGGGCGGCAACGCGGCGGCCACGGGCCGCCACGCTTGGGGAACGCGGGAAGTCCTCGGCGGACCCACTCGAATAAGTAGTAACCTGTTGGCCAGCCTGGACCCCAAGCAGTGCGCCTCTAGCAAGATTTGCAACATCTGATGTGCAGTAGCTGTGGGGCAACATATGTTGTGTGACATATGTGGTGCAACGCAATCTGCGGTGCTACCTATTGATGCAACCTGTGTTGTGCAACCTGTGGTGTGCAATCTATGTGGTGCGATCTATGTTGTCCAAACTATGTGGTGCAATCTGTGTTGTGCATTCATTGTGGTGCAACAGATGCGGTGCAGTCTACGTTGTGAAACTCAAGCGGCGACGGGGCGGCGACGACGACAACATGGCCGCCAGACCGACACTCGGGCCCAGACGGCGGGCGGCGACAAGGCGGCGACGGGGTGGCGACGGCGAGAACATAGCCGCCAGACCGACAATCACGCCCAGACGACAGGCGGCGACGAGGCGGCGACGGGGCGGCGACGGCGACAACATAGCAGCCAGGACGAGTCAGGCACTGTTGCTAGAAGAGAAGTAGGAAGTCTTAATGGCAATCACTGCTTAAGGGGACAAATAAGAATCCCTAAATGCAGGGACTGCTTGGGACATACCTAATATCTGCCCTGTGTCGTTGTTTCCTTCTCTCTCTCTCTCTCTCTCTTTCTCCCTCTCTCTATGTATCTCTCTGTCTCTCTCCCTGTAGGGGGGATGGCCGCGGCTGCGCCCGCATTGCCAGCACCCTGCCATCATTGTCTGTCCGATCAGGTAGGATGCCCCTTGGGTGGTCATGCCAGCATCAATCCAGAAGCATGCCAGAATTCTGTGTTACAATAATTAACTATACACTGGGCCTATAACCAACTCGTGCTTCTCACCCGTACCTTATCGACCCATGCCACCAACTCAGAAGCCTGTCAGGACCCTCTCGGGAGCCTTCTCAGGACCTGCTCAGCACCCTCTCAGACGCTCTCAGGAGCCTCTCAGGAGCCTCCAAATGGCCTGACCCTCTCAGGACCCTTTGGGTTACCCTGTCAGGGCACTCGACACCCTGGACCCTGCTTCCCAGGACCCTTCCGACAGCCCCTCAAGAGTCTCCCAGCATGTCGGGAGACTCACACGAGCAGCCTTCCATGACCCTCTGGAGCTTCCCAGGAGCCTCGAGAGAGCTCAGGAGCCTCTCGGGTGCATGTCGGCATCCTGCTATTAGGGTGCATCGAAAGCTGTCATCTCCCCCTCTGCCTCGTTGACACCTGGAACGTGGTCTCATAAGTATGCACGCGCGTTCACTTCGCAGTGCTTTGAAGTGACGGTGACCTGGCCCGCACCGGACAGTATGCGGACACCCAGGCCCTCCATGCCCGCACCAAACAATATGCGGATACTCAGCCCTCCCTATGACGAGGTGTTTAGCATATTGTCTCGTTTGTGCACACGCATTCACTTCTATCGGGGCGAGGCCACCCCATGTGGGGGGGGTTGGCTGGAAAAACAAGGGAGACGGGTGGGTGGGATTGGAGAGGAAACGGGCGGGATAGAGGAAAGACGCAGGGGAGCGGGAAGGAACAGGTGACGTGACAAGGAGGTGTCGGAAGAGGAGCAGCATGTGTGGGGGGGGGGCTTGTGGAGGTTCCCAGTGAAGGCCTCGTCTACAACAGCCAGAAGCGGAAACGCTTGCAAAGTGTGGGTGTGTGTGATGGGGCGCTGGTTAGCTGTGGCGGCGACGATCCTCCTAGAGGCCCAGCTGGGAGCGGCGAAGAAAAGGCCACCGACCCCGCTCCTCGCGCCTCGGTCCTCCTCCCCTCCTCCTCGTCTTTGCCTCCTCCCATCTCCTCCTCCACTGTCATCTGTTTCTCCTACCCTCTCCTCCCCCCTCCACATCGGGCCTGCTCCCCCTGCCCTCCCTCCGCCCCCATCAGCATCCTTGGTTCTGCCTGCTCATGCACCTCCTTCGTCTCCTCCTCACACCGTCTTATACAACATCATACTCCTCATCGGCATGCTCCGGTAGGCTGGAGTAGCTGCACTCCGTCACTTGATCACTCGAATTTCCCGCGTTCGAACTGGCAGAGGTGGCTGCCGAGACATGCGGCGGACGCATACCAACCTCTGTGTCATGTGCAATCGGAAGTCACGTTGCACTACTCGATGACAGGTGGGGCTTCCTATTCTTTACTAGAGTCGACTTACCAGGGTGGAGAACCCAAGAAACCCAACTGACACAGAAATGGTTACACCTACCCTTTAGGCATCAGCGCTACACTACAATCCCCCTTCTCCTCGTCCTCCTCCTCCTCCTCCTTCCCCTCCTCCTCCTCCTCCCCTTCTGGCTCGCCTCAGAGTCGCCTCGCCTCGTGGAGGTCATCCCGACGTGTTGTTTCTTGCCTCGGGAACGAACTCTGGTGGCCCTGGGACCCAAAGCGTGCAGCTGGAGGCTGATATCGAACAGGATGGCAGGGCCGCGCAACATTCGCGCCATCGCCCTCTGTGTGTTTACCCTTCTCTTTCGACAGGCCAGTGCAGTTTCCAGTTGCCTCCTGCTGTCTCATACTCCTCCTCCTCCTCCTCCTCCTCCTCCTCCTCCTCCTCCTCCTCCTGCCTCCTGCCTCCTCCTCCTCCTCCTGATCCTGCCTCCTACTCCTCACGCCTCCTCATGCCTCCTCTTCCTTCCTCCTCCCCCTCCTGCCTCCGACCCTCCTCCCTGTTCCTCTCTTGTCTTTCCTCCTGCCCCCTGATCCTCCAGCCTCCTCCCTCCTCCCCTCTTTCTTCCACCCAGCCCAGCACCGCAGTGCTCAGCTGTCCCGGGATGGGTCGCCCTCGCGTGCCCCTGGACCGGATTGAACTGCTTGTTCTGGCCCAGCTTGGGTAATTTAGCGAAGGTTTTTGTAACCTGATGATTTGTAGTCAATTCGCATCCTTCTCCCCCTCATGATCCTTCCTCCTCCTCCTCCTCCTCCTCCTCCTCCTCCTCCTCCTCCTCCTCCTCCTCCCTCTCATCTTCCCTCCTCCTCCTCCTCCTCCTCCTCCTCCTCCTCCTCCTCCTCCTCCTCCTCCTCCTCCTCCTCCTCCTCCTCCTCCTCCTCCTCCTCCTCCTCCTCCTCCTCCTCCCCCCCGTCCCCCTCCCCTCCCCCTCCCCTTCCTCCTCCTTCCACCTCCTTCCGACTCCTCCACCTCCTCCTCCTCCTGCTCCTCCTTCTCCTCCTCGTCCTCCTCCTCCTCCATCTCCCAGGGGGAGGGAGCGGCGTCCCTGTTGAAGCAGGCCGTCGAATCCCTCGCCCCCTCGTGCAGGTCGGCAGCCTGGTCCCGCGGGCCGCGCTCGGGGCTCGGGGGCCCGCTTCCCCGTAAGGAGGAGGAGGGGGGGGCGAAGAGGTCCTCCTCCTTCACCTCCTCGTTCTCCGCCTCCTCCTCCCTTTTCCTCCTCCTCCCTGTTCCTCCTCCTCCTCCTCTTCCTCCTCCTCCTCCTTCTCCTCCTCCTCCACCTTGTCATCCGCCTCCCTCCTCAAAGGGAGAGGGCATGTGGAGGGATGGGAGGAGGAGGAGGAGGAGTAGGAGGAGAGGAGGGAGGAGGAGAGGAGGAGGAGCGAGGAGGAGGAGGAGGAGGAGGAGGAGGAGGAGGAGGAGGAGGAGGAGCAAGGAGGAGCGAGGAGAGCGAGGAGGAGCGAGGAGGAGGAGGAGGAGAGGAGGAGGAGGAGGAGGAGGAGGAGAGAGGAGGAGGAGGAGGAGAGGAGGAGGAGGAGGAGGAGGAGGAGGAGGAGGAGCGAGGAGGAGCGATGAGGAGGAGGAGGAGAAGGAGGAGGAGGAGGAGGAGGAGGAGGAGGAGGAGGAGGAGGAGGAGGAGGAGGAGGAGGAGGACGGGGAGTGAGGAAGGAGAAATATCGCGGACCGGGACCGTGGAATGGCTTTTGGCGCCCGTCGGCCCCCTGGGGCGTAGCGCACCCCGGGAGAGAGGTCGATGGGGAGGGAGAGCGGGAGGAGGGCGTATGACGGGCGGCAGGAGGAAGGGAGGGATGGGGCGGAGGCGAGAGGGGGGGGGGAAGGGAGAACGGAGGGAGAAGGGAGGGCGGAGGGAGTGAGGGAGGACAGAGAGCGGGAGGCAGGATGGAGGCGAGAAGGAAGTACGCCTGGGAGGGTGGAGGGGGTGTGGGGAAGAGGGTCGTCGTCTTCCTCCTTCTCCCTCCTCCTTCCCCTTCTCCCTCCTTCTCCTCATCCTCCTCCTCCTCCTCCTCCTCCTCCTCCCCCTCCTCCTCCTCCTCCTCCTCCTCCTCCTCCTCCTCCTCCTCCTCCTCCTCCTCCTCCTCCTCCTCCCTCCTCCTCCTCCTCCGTCTCCTCCCCCTCATCCTCCTCTCTCCTTCTCTCCCCCCCCTCCCTCCCTCCTCCTTCCCGCCCTCCCGCCTCCATCCTCCTTCTTCTTCCCCTCCTCAGAATCACCATCACTCCTTCACTCATCATCATTCATCATCATCATCATCATCATCATCATCATCATCATCATCATCATCATCATCATCATCATCATCATCATCATCATCATCATCATCAGCATCCTCATCATCATCATCAGCATCATCATCATCAGCATCATCATCAGCATCATCATCATAATCACCATCATCACCATCATCATCAGCATCGTCATCAGCATCATCATCATCACCATCAGCATCATCATCACCACCACCATCATCATCATCATCAGCATCATCATCATCTTTGCATTTGCATCATCATCAGCATCATCATAATCACAATTAGCATCACCAGGATCACTATCACCATCATCAGCAGCAGCAGCGTCAGCATGTTCATCATCATCATCATCATCATCATCATCATCATCATCATCATCATCATCTGAGTCGTCATCAACAACGTCATTACCATTAACATCATATTCATCATCGTTGTCGTCGTCACCAACGGAAACATGATCACCTTTAATATCTTTACCATCGTCAACATCACTATCATCACCGCAACAATCATATTCGTCATGATCATTGCCGCGAGCATCAACAAGACAACCACCATGGGGATCACAATCACCATGACTATCAACATCCTGGTCATCACCGTGACCATGACCATGACCATCACCAACACCGTCATCATCATCACCATGTTCATCATCATAATCAACGTCATGAACACCATCATTCTCACGACCCTCACCACCAGCATGAACATCATCGACATCGTCATCATCGTCACCATCAACATCATAAACATCACCACCACCGCCACCACGATCAGCAACATCATACTCATCATTATCACGATCATTATCACAACGACCATCACCATCATTATCGCCAACATCATCGCCATCATCACCATACGCGTCATCCCATCATCATCATCATCATCAGCATCATCATCATAATCATCATCATCAACGTCATCATGGTCATCATCGTCATCATCATCAGCATCATCATCACCATCGTCATCATCATCAGCAGCATTATTACTAACCTCATTGCCAACATCAGCGTCAACATCACCACCACCATCATCGCTCCCCCTGCTCCTCCTCCTCCTCCTCCTCCTCCTCCTCCTCACACTCACCCTCTCGCCCCCCTTCTGATACTCCCCCCTACCCCCCTTCCTACCTCGACGCACAGGGCGTGTGGGGCGAAAGGGGGCGGCCTCCTGACAGGGGGCCCGGGACCCTGGGAGAGCGGGGACGGGGGGAATGAGAGAGAGAGAGAGAGAAAAAAAAAAAAGAGAAAGAGAGAGAGAGAGAGAGAGATGGAGCCAGAGAGAGAGAGTGAGAAAAACAAAAAACAAGCAATAAACATGAAAAGAGATACTCAATACACATTTCTGTATATGTACAGAGCGAGGGAAAACAACAGCGAACCAAAACAGAGAGAGAGGCCAGAACCCATCCTGCAAGAGGCATGGCCGCGTGCCTCTCAAGAAGGGCGCGGTCCACCCCGCAGCCACCGCCCCACCAGGAGGGGCGCCGTGCCGCAGGAAGCAACGAAGCCACGAAGGGGTCTTTCTGGCCACGGCGAACCGCGGCCACGAAGCGGCTCCACTAGTTAGCCAGATCTCAAGAAACGGCCAGGAATAGCCTCCTCGTCCTCGTCCTCCTCCTCCTCCTTCTCCTCCTCGTCCTCCTCCTCCTCCTCCTCCTCCTCCTCATCCTCCTCCTGTTCCTCCTCCGCTCCACTAGCTGATCCACCATCGTCCGCCAACCACAAAAATCTTTAGTTTTTCGCTCTGTACTGTGCGGCAGGTTCCTGCCGTGACGGCCTCCGCTGGCATGGCCGGCCCACGGGGGTCTCGCCTCTCGAGAGAACGTGCTTCGCAGACACTTGCCTGGGACAAATCCCTGGACACGTCGGAAAACCAGCCGCCCCCCGTAAAGCATGTGAGAAGCCTGGTGATGCACGCCCCTCCCTCGCCCCCGGACACCAGCCTCTCTGGCCGGGCCCCCCCCCCATTCCAACGAGACGGGGGTGTTCGAACCGGCCCCCCCCGCGTTCACGGCGGGGGGATTCGCACCGGGCCCCCCGCCGCTCTGTAACATAATCAAAATCTATTAGAACCCTGGGCCCAACTTTAATAGCGTCCTGGTCGGGCTCGGTCCAACTCTCCTAGACGCCTACTGCGCATAGTCGGATGCAACCCTCCTTGCATCCTAGTCGGGCAGGGTCTGGCTCGAATGGGGCCTGAAGATCGATCTATCAAACTTTCATAGCATCCGAGTCGGGCTCGATGCTACTCGCATAGAATCCGAATTTTGCTGCATCCAGCCTTAATTGATTCCTGCGAAGGCCCGACCCAATCACTGATGATCCGCCCGTAGCTAGATCCGGCTCGAATTCAATCCTACCAGGGCTCGGCCCAACTTTCGTCGAATCTTACCCGGTTTGATCCAGCCATTATAGCACCCTGCTCAGGCTCGATCGTCGTCGTCGTCGTAATCGTTGCCCGGCGGCGCCGGCGCCGGCGCCTGCGCTCGCCGTCATCGGTTAACTCTGCGGAGCGACGGGGGGGCACCACCCCTCCCGGTTCGACCCCCCTTCCGTGCAATTCAGGCCCCCGTCCCTTCCTTCCCCGGTTGGAACTCCTCCCTGCATTTCAGGGGGGGGCGATTCGACCCCCCCGCTCGTTCCGTTTCTCACATGGGTGCTTCCGAAAAGAAAGTGCTTGCAAGGATTTATGATGAGGAGACTCGGGACGGGAGGGTGGATTCCAGCATCTCGGGACCGGAGGGCATCTGGTCTCCGTCCTCCGTTCCTTCCCCTCAGAAATATTTGTTCCCTGTCGCTTCCCGAGGCGAAGTTTTATGGCGGGCCGGGCGTTTCGCCTGAGACTTCCTCACCATTTACAACTCTGTAGCTAAACAGTTGGCCACATTTTCACGAATGGAATTCGGGCTTTTTCGAAATGTTGCTCGCCTAAGCGCCGCACGTGTTCGTCTTACAAACATTGCAAGAGCTTCATGGATTGAAATCGGCTCCTTTTCAAAATGTGACTCTCGCCTTAGCGTCGCGCGCACTCGTTTTCAACATTTGCAAGGGCTTCACGGATTGAGGGCACATTGTTTTCAACATGTGGCTCTCGCTATAGCGCCACGTACATTCGTTCACACAAAGTACAAGAGTTTCAGGGATTAGGAGCGAGTCGCTTTCAAAATGTGGCTCTCGCCCACGCGCCGCGCAAACTCGTTTGAAACAGTTGCAAGAGTTTCACGGTTTGAAGGCGGCTCCTTTTCAACATGTGGATTTCGACCCAGCGCCCCGCACACTCTTTTTAAACATTTGCAGGAGTTTCACGGATCCCCATTTTCAGCGTACCAAAAACAACGCTGTGGAAGGATTCACTCTTATGACGGTGCAACAATTATGTTGGTTCGCGGCGTTAGGGTCCCAGGTGTGGCGTTCCGGCACGACTTACGATCGCCAAGACGGGCCAAGACGCAGCAGCCAGCTTGATCCGTGGCATTGGAATCCCGAGAACAATGTGTTGGCATGCTCCGGGGCCTTCAAACACTTGTCGTTCAACGAGGCAGTTCTTTCAGTACAAATGAACCGTTGTATGGGGCCTACGACGAGGGAGCGTGGAGCGAGGGTTTATTCCAACATCGTTGATGCCTGTTGGGTTTGCACTGGTCCTCCTCCTCCTCCTCCTCCTCCTCCTCCTGCTCCTCCTCCTCCTCCTCCTCCTCCTCCTCCTCCTCCTCCCCTTCGTTTCTAGCACCCCTTCTCCACCGCCTCCTTTTCCTCCCTCTTTCCCCATCCTACCCCTTCCTCCTTTCTCCATCAAGGTTTCTTATCAATCAATGATCCCTGCCGCACCCCGAAGCATGTCGGTAGGGCGGGTCTGGGCGGTTCACCACTTCTGATCCTTTATCTGAAACTGTGCCAAAGCTTCACGGATGAAGGCTGGGTCGTTTTCAAAATATGGCTCTCGGGGTACGACCGCGCACACTCGTATTAAACATGTGCTGGGGCTTCGCGGATGGAGGGCGGTTCGTTTTCAAGATGTGGCTCTCGCCTTAGCGAACCGCGCATTCGTCTCAAGAACTTGCATGAGCTTCACGGATGCAGGGCGGGTCGTGATCAACATGTGGCCCCCGGGCTGGGACCACGTGCGCTCGTCTTGAACATCTGCGTGAGCTTAACGGATAGAGGGCGGGGCGTTTTGAAAATATGGTTCTCGCATTACCGCCGCGCACATTCGCTTCAACCAAAGGCAAAAGCTTCGCGGATGGAGGGCGGGTTATTTTCAAACTGTGTCTCTCGCCTTAGCGCTGCGT